CTTTTTTCCCAAAGAGATTTCTTTTTTTTTTTAAGTAAGGCATACTCCCACACTCACACACACAGATGCACACACATTCTGAGTTCTAGCACTCTAAGCTACAAAAGAGAAAGAACTTCACCAAGTAAAACTTGTAGTGCCATTCAGTCTTTTAGCTTCATTGTGTGCTTAAGGATTGACCACATGAAGCTGTAGAAAGGCTGGCAGGGAAAGATACAGCCCTGACACTATTTAAAAAGATCAAATTTAGAGGCAGTACTAGGCCAGGTATAAAAGTTTAATGCCCTTGCACAGCAGCCAATGCCATGGCATAGCCTCCAAACCTTTTGCCTCCAAGGTTTTTGTCATTTTCTGTTTGCTTTATTATTGCAATTATTTGCATGAAATAAGAATCCCAGTGTTTTAGAAAGTTGTCTACTCCCTGTTGATTCAAACGTTATTCAGCTATGTGTTTGCAGAAGAAATTTCCCCATGATAATTATAAAAATAACTAGCAAGTCTCCAGGAGGATAAGAGTCAACTTAAAAAAAAAAAACCAAGGTTCTTTTCCATAAATCAGTGTTTGGTGATAAAAGTAGAAGTATTTTTAGACTAGAAAACAATATATCATTTTAAAGACATGCATCTAAATAGAATGATCGTTTAAAAGATGCTTCTTGGGAAGTTTTTAATGCAACAGGCCTGCTAACATAGGACTGAATAGTTGTCTGAAAGTTTTCAACTCAACTAGCTTTCTCCAACCCAACACGGTGAAATAAATCAGAATAAATCTGAAAGAGTGGATATAAAAATCCATTAAGACAAAGTAGAATTCACAGCCCAGTTCAGTAATAGTATTAATTCCTAGATCTTGCACTCTCATACATCACAACAAGAAAGGATACACCAAATTTAAGGAATATCAAGTGTGTCCTAGAGGAATGCATACTTTCACACCACATATTATTCAAGCAACAAATAGAATGCAAAACTCAAAGCACTATAAAAGAAGAGCAATGAATCAGTACTAGCTTTCTGTGAACACAGATTATGAGAAATATATATATATATATATATATAAATGCCCATTTTAATTATGGGTAGTCTACGTGTCACATTCCAAGCAGATATCTATTGTCTATGTGATATAATGCCAACATAAAATGCCCTTTTTGTCTCTTAGATATTGCTAAAAACAGCCACAATTGCACTTCACAGACACCCCACAAAAGAAAAAAGAAAGCACAATAAATCACTGTTTTCCTTCAAGAAAGGACAATCCATCTTCAGGATTAGAAGAGTAACATGGAACTTACTAGTACTAGTATATGTTGCAGAGTCTAAAACTCTTGATAAAACAATGAGTTATGACCGATAATAGATACATACATCCACGTAGCCAAATGGAGCTGGTATGAAACCTTTAATAGCCTGCATATAGCCTTCAGTGTTAGAACCCAATTTGGATACAAGCACTTAAGGAGATCCGAATCTCGCTCAGTGTTTGTCAGAAAACTGCCACAGTTTCATTTCCTAATGGAGAGGATTAAAACACTTCTTGGCCCTAAATTAGAAAAAGGTTCTGTTGGAGTCGATCCAAAAGAATTAACTAGAGTGTGACTGGCAAACCCGGGTGACTGAAAAATACAAGTTTGAGGAAAGAATTTGGTTATTAAATTGGTTATTTTAAACTTCTGAAAGTTTATTATGTAATCATTTAATTGCAAAATAATTTTCAAATTAATTTTACAACCAAATCAACTGTACTTACTAGAAAACAAAATTTAAATGTAATGCTGACAAGAAAAATAAAGTCTTTATTACTTAACGATTGTAACAGTTAACATTTTTTAAGCTTTCGTTACAGGTCAAGCACTGGTCTAAGCACTTTACATGTATTCTCAAATCCTAAAAAATTTGTACTATAATAACCTCCATTGCACAGGTGAGGAAACTGAAACACAGAACAAGTAAATAATTTAACCAAGACCACACATTTGACAAATAGCAGTGTCTGGTATTACTCAACCATTTGCCACTCTCCTCCCATCTATATAGAAATTCAGTGGCAAAGAAGGGGAGGGGGGAAGAGTGAGGAGCTGAAATTGATGTTTAAGTATATAAATTCCAATTCTATAGTTTTCAGAGCAGTTTCAAACTACTAAGGCTACATGTAGCCTGAATTGTAAAAGATGTTAACACAACTAATCCACTTTATACATAAAATATTTGTTGAAAGAACTGCGTCAACGGGGAAATAAAAGATAATAAGGACTTCCATGTATCTAAATCAGTGGACAAACAAGTTCATCCAATAATTTTGTTTTTATGAATACTATCAATAGTCTTTTTAAATAGAGACTGCCAAACAAGATAATTACACTCTGTATACTTAACATTATCACCTACACTAAATAGGCTGGGAATACAAATATTTTATAGTGCATTTTCAGTTGCCAAAATTAAAAGGAATCCCATCCAAAATAATTTGTGAAAATATACTGCAAGCTATACAAAACATAAAATAAGTGTATGCATAACAGTGTTCAGAGTAAACTTTATATCACAAATGGAAGCTGGCAACTACGTTTGGTTGGTCGTTGACTGGAATACCACTTCAAAAGAACCACACAGGATAATCAATGAAGATGGCTATGAGTTGCTCCCTTAAATTTCTGGGACTTTTATGAATGAATCTCAGAGCTCATTAGTTATGTGAGTAGCAAGTGGTTATTCATAATGTAAATATTTTATTTTGTTTACAGTTCTAGTTCCACAAGTGAAATCTCCTGGATTCCAAATATCTCTCAGATTATCTTATGAGTTAAATTAGCTGAGGTTCCAACTTGAGTATACTACCTTATGAGCATTTTTTCATAGTTTAGAGACAATTTGTCTTATCTCTTTATAATCAAAATAATGAACATTTTCAAGTCCACAAGTTTCTAGGGGACAAAGAAAGACCAAAACTGTGAAAGACTCCAAATGCAAGAATCTTAACTGCAGAACACTTATGCTTATATCTTCTCTAACAAAAATCACTAACCACACAAAAAAGTCAAAAGTTCATTTCATCTCATCTTCTGAAATGCCTGGAAATATGTCCATGTTGAAATGACATAAATGTTTAAGATCTAAAGTGTTAATAAAGGTTCTTTCCTTTAGGTGGCTTTTCTGACTATCGATCCTTTTACTGTGTAACAAATACTTTCATATAATTAAGACAATTAGATTTTTATTGAAATATAGTTGATTTACAATATTGTGTTAGTTTCAGCAAAGCGATTCAGTTACGTATACATATAAGTTTTTCAGATTACCTTCCCTTACAGGTTATTACAAGATACTGTATATACAAGATATTGTGCTATACAATAAATTCTTTTATCCTATTTTATGTATAGTAGTTTGTATCTGTTAATCCTATACTCTTAATGTGTCCCTCCCTGCCTCCCTTTCCCTTTTGGTGATCATAAGTCTGTTTTCTTTGTCTATTCAGTCTGTTTCTGTTTTGTATGTAAATTAATTTGTATTATTTTTTAGATTCCACATATAAGTGATATCATATAATATTTGTCTTTCTCTAAGACAGTTAGATTTATATCTACCACTTCAATGGACCCTTTCTTTGCTTCTCTGCCGAAATGGTATTCTCAGGAAATCTAGCACTATTAAAAAAGACAATCTAAGTGTGCTGTGTTTTGTCACCCTACCTCCAAGGTTACTAGAATATATGAACAATGGGCAACTTCCAATCAAGCTTGCATCTGTGCAGAGAGGTCCTTTGCACTTCTCTAGTCAAAATAAAGTGCAAACAAATTGCCTGGATCCCACACAGTGACTGAATTACCAAAGAAATACAATTAAATCTGGGCTTATTTGTATCATAGGCTATCAATACTGAGCTCTCTAACACAACAGGCAAGTTTAAAATCTCGTGTCTTGACAAAGAAAAACGTTTGCCAAATGATGTTCCTGCAGCCATCCTTTTCATTTGTGCAAATAGCTTTCGAGTTGTGGCCCTCCCCATTTATAAACATCACTGAGAACTGTGCCTGTCCCAGTTCCCCATCCTCCAAGCCCTAGTGATGTTCCGTGGAGTTCTTGTACTTGATCCACAAGCCCCCCTCCTGAGGCGCACTACAAAAGCATCATGCCAGGTGCTTTCCAAATCCTCTCCCTCGTTCTCTCATTTCAGAAAATCACTGCATTTATTCCACCGGGGAAGTGAACTCTACCCACCTTCCACACTTGAGATGCCCAGAAAGGAAACACAATCACACACGCACACACAGATACACACGCACGCGAGCGCGCACAAACACACACCATATCCCTTCCTAATCTCCAACTCTGACAGCAGCACTCAGACAGCCAGTCTCTAGTTCTGCAGTCCAAAACGCCTATCAGTTACAGGTGACAACTGGCACAGGAGAAATCGGAAGTTTCTATGGCTCGATGGAAACCCCTTCCCCACAAGCAGTTCTCACGGCCCCCGGAGGGGCTTTGGAGGCACAGTCGCCAGTTCTCTGGTTACCCCCTTCCGAAACTACCCGTAACTGGATGCTCCTGCGCCAACCCGCACCGCCAGGAGGCAATCCTGGCGGTGCGCGGCGATACCTGATGCCAACCTGCCCTCTGGAGGGACACCACTGGGGCCCACAAAAGTTGACCCCCAGGAGTCCTGCGGAGGCAGCGAGGAGGAGGACCTCTGCCCCCAGCCTCTTGCTCGCGTCTCTTCGCCGCCCTCCTTCGCTATAGTAGAAAGGAGCCCAACAGCTCCAAGAGCTGGGCGGGGGCGAGAGGACAAGATTAATAAAGTTAGGAAAGAGGGCTGCGTGAGGACTGCGTTCTCCTGAGTTGGAGAAGACAGGAGTCTAAAGGGAGATAGCAAGGGGTGAAACCATAAATCCTGTCTGCTGCGAGAAGGAAGGCGCGCAAGGACCGCAGACGGGCTCGAGCCCGCCACGGGTCGCGGAGGCGGCGGGGAGAACCGGGAAGAGCGGTGACCGCGAACTTACTGAAGAAGATGTACTCGGTGTAGCTGCTCCAGATCTTGTCGTCGCGGTACTGGTGGATGAAGGCGGCGGTGCCCGAGGAGTTACACGCCACCATGTGGAAGCCGGCCTCGGACAGGCGATCGAACGCCTGCTCCAAGTAGGTGAACTTGAGGTAGAAGCGGGACGTGTACTTCTCCGGCGGCCGGTCAGGGTCGCGGCTCTCGTTGAGCGTGTCTCCGAAAACCTCCTTGGCCAGCGCGATGCGTCCGCACACCATGATGCGCGCCACACGCCGGAACTTGGCGTCCGCTTGGTTGTCGCGCACCGTGGTGTAGGAGCCGCGGTAGCCGAGCGTGAGGAAG